ACAGAGACTAAACCGATCCTTGAAACAAACTTTGCTTCAGATTAGTTTGGATGCGCCTGGATGTTACTGCAAACTGCAGAGGGGAAATGCTCTTCTATAACCAGGGCTTTATTCAGCCACGACTACAGAGAGTGCAAAATCCACTGCAATTTCAGCACAAGTATTGGAAGAAGAAATCATGGAACTAGAAGCCACATCCAACAGTGCTTGTACAGGACATTTAGCGGGAACAGGAGAGGAATTTTTAAGAAGCATAAAGGGACCTTCTTGCTATATCTTGAAACTTCAGTGAATTCCCCATTTCAGAGACAGAGCCCTCCTAGCAGAAGAGAGCAGGGCACAGATTGACTGTAACTACAGCATCCTTCAGATCATTTGCAGTTGAAGGTTTTTAGTATACTTGACCTTTTGTAATGCAACAATAAGTACATTTTCTTAACACTTACTTCACAGCCTACAAGTCTATTAAAAAAATAGACCAAACTCGAAGCAGTCCTTTGCTGTGACATTTTGTTCCTTGAATAACACAATACTCCACCTTTATGTCAGTTTTCCTGTGGTTTGCTGGGTCGAAAATCCATGTCTAGCCCATGGGAGGTGAGTCATTTCCCTGTGTGCTTCCAGTCCTGCTGCAGCTGCAGCATTCCTAGAATCTAGATGATGAACATAGATGAAGAAGAAACATACAGAAAGAATGATAATAATATATTACCATATTATCTGGTAATAAAAAAAGAGACTGTAGTTAACAATAAGGGTATTCTTATTTAACCTCATACAGCCATATTTAGTGATATTAGTGGTCTGAGCATTACTATCTGTCATCCCAACTAGAAATTATCTGACTCTCTGGTTACACACATCATTCAAACTCAGGAACACATCACAGCTACATCTTTCCGCAGTATACACAGCACTAGGATCTCAGTGACTGTTTCACAGAGCAGACCCTGAGCACAGCAGTTTGCTCCAGCTCCAAGCGCAGGGTGATCCCAACCTAAAAACTTCTGAAGGATAAATTATTAAGAGCATCATTACAGCAGGAACTCCAGTGGTTATCATGAAACCATCATCACACATCTGTATTTATAAGACACAGGGCACAGTCTGGTGCTCGCTATTCCTGAGTGACATGATCTCATAACCACACAGCCCTGGAGCCGTAGCGTGGCTGCTGTTAACGGAGCGCTTTATGGTGGGGGAAGTATGCATTTCTATGCTGGAAGAACATGAAATTGGCAGCTCATAGCTGTAGTTTACACAAAGCTGTTTGTTTCTTGTAAACAGATTTGTTTTCCTTCAGTGGCAGGGGCCCAGGAGACCCACCATACAGCAGCGTAACAGAGAGCATCTTCTTGCAGAGCAGCAGTGGGGGAAGGATGGACCTTCCGGCACAGGCAGAGTGCTCCCACGATAATTTTTTAAATGAAGAAGTGTAATGAATGTGTAAGGCTAGATAAGGTCAGGAAATCTTTTGCTGTATGAATGAACTGCCTACTAGTTGTACTGCAGAGGTTCCAGGCATCCTGCTCTACGGCTGGGTTCCTGCTGGGCTAATAATTCTCAAATGAGAGGTGGTGCCACGTTACGCATTCCTTGGGCCTGTCTATAATGATCTGGTTGTTCCTCACAAGCTACGGCCCTAGCCCAATCCTCTGCCTTCTCATCAGTAGCAAGCAAGATTAAAATGATCCTTACCCTCCACCCAGAGAGATCGATTGATACAGACCCACCCTAACTATGGGAAATGCCCACATCCAGAACATCTGCCAGGTGCGACTTGAACAGATGCAGCCTCGCCGTGTCAGCCCCCAAAGCAGGGCGGGGAGGAGCGCTGGGGCGGCCGCTGAGGATCACCGCTGAAACTCAAACACCCTCAGGACTCCTGTCACCTCAGGCGGACACGGGGCCTGCCCGTGCGGAAGGACAGTGCCAAAAGGGCAGCCAAGGCGCAGCTGGAGCTTGCCCAGACGTACTGCAGCTCCCTGGGCTCTAATCAGGTTGGTGCCTGCGAACAGCATAACCACCACCACAGCCATGGTGCTAATAGGGGCTGCAAAACCTGCTGGAAGCATACAGCAATCTTTAGGTAGTTTTCTACACTAACCCCCATTTTTCTTTAAGCTGTTCCTGGTACCGGGGCTGGGTGACCCCAGGCTGCGGCCACCCTTGAGCAGAGATGCACCGTTGGGGCTGGCTGCCTAATGACAAGGAGGCGCCCAACTCTTCAGAGCTACCGGTGTCCTCCGCCTGCCCTACAAGCAGTAGCTACAAACCGTTTGTCTCCCCTCTTATCTCTTCTCCTTGGTCTACTCAGCCACTACATCAGCTCCTCAATCCTTTTTTGTGTCTCTCATCTCCTCTGGAAGTCACAAGACCTTCTGTCCCCTTCCCTGGGAAAGCGCTGCAGGATCCTCACACCCGGTTTATTCCTTCCACGTGATGGGAGATGTATTGAAGGACGGAGGTGGAGAAAACAGCAGAGCACAGACCAAGCCATTCATATAGGAGAGAAAGTGGGAGTTATTGGGCCCTTTTTATTCCTGTTTTTTCCTCCTCTTCCTTCTCCAGCAGCTGAGGGAGTGTTGTAGAGGCTGCCTGACCCCTTTTCCTTTCTCCCATGCAAAGCTCCTACAGGCTCCTGAGAGAAGAAAGGAGATCTCTGACCCAGGCTCCAGCATGCCTGATCCTCCTCCTCTCACAGCAAAACTGCTCACAGTGGGATTTTTCCTCAAAGCAACGCTGCAGCCCCCGTGGTGCGAGGGCTTCCCGCCGCATCTCCTGCTGCACCCAGGCCCGGCCAAATGCGACCATTAACAGTGTCCCTGGGAAAGGTGGCAGCTGGGGGAGCCCCACAAAGCGCCCATTTCACACACTGCCACTTACCTGCTGCTCTGTGCTTCTTATGTTTCCACCTCAGGAGATGGCAGCCTGCCTGGTTTGCCCAGGGTCTGCAACCATATCCAGCGTTTCCTCTGCCTCGCGTACTTGGCTACATGTCAGGAGTGGTTGATGGACGGGGCTGGGGAACGTGGGGAGAGGAAGCCCCTCTGACATGAGGGAGGAATTTATGGTGATGGGTAAGGAAAAGGGAAATTGAAGAGTAATTTGCCTTTTAGGAAAAAAAAAAAAAAAAAAAAAAAAAAAAAGCTCTGCAATGAATGGGCTAATTTTTTTACCACAAGGTCCAAATATTTCAAGCAACATCTAATTATTTCTTGTAATCATAGTTCTTTACTATGAGCAAGAAGAGAAAGAGATAGGAACACACAGAAATGGATTGGGAAACATTATGTGCCCACCCCACTCTGCTCAGGACCTCAGTGGCTCAGAGGAGCCTGGCCTGGATCACGGGGCGAGTCTTTGCACCCCCAGCAGCAAGGGCTCCCCGCGTCCCCGTGGCCAACACCCTCCCATCGAGGATGCGCCAATGCACAAAGGTTATTTAGCAGAGTACTGTCCTGAGGGGAGAAAACTCATCACCAGAGAAGGGCAGAGAGACTTGGATCAAAACTGCAGAAAACACACTTGTGTGCTGGAGCTGAACGTGGAGTTTGTTAACAGCACTACGCTCCTCACAGCGCAAAGCTTTAAATGCTACTTACGTGTATTTACAAAGCCAGGGTTATGTTATCGCTGGGTTGTTTGATTTCATTCAGGGGAACCAACAAATCTGGTTTAGACATTTTTAAAAGATTGCCTAGGATACCCAGCACCCTGGGTGGCCCCTGTTATTACAGTCAGTAAAACCCAGAAAACAAATAAAAATATGCCCAGCAGCTCGGCATGGTGTGTCACGCTAAAAGAGGGCCTGCTCCAGACTCCAGTGGCACACACACTGGTACTGATTTTTGTCTGGGAAAGCCACCGTGAATTCATCATGCAACTTTTGCAGCTGAAATAATACGCTGACCTGTGTAAACTAAATCTTCACAGTGGGCACATTTTTTCTCCTACTGTTTCCAAACAAAAATCAAACATAAATAGTAGGAAATCAGCCCATTTCTACTAATGAATGGCAGCATGAGAACATCAGTGATGTTTCAAGTTAAAATCTTTCTAGTGCACTGAATTAGGCTTCTCCTGGAGTGAAGCAAGAACCTTTGTGCTGGAAAAAAAATCACTTTTTGGTAAATCCATGGGCTATAGGGAGAAGCAACATTTTTTCATTTTTTTTAATGCTTACCTAGTTTCTCATTTAGCCTTCCATACCTTTAAAGTACCAAATGCATTGTTAAATTAAGTAAGAACCTGGTTCAAAACACTGAAATGAAGCATTCTGTCAGCAAGAAGACATGAGACTGATGTGTCAGTATTTTGTATGATTTACTCTATTACTGACCACAACTGGCTCCTCGCTGGAGTGGCTTGCTCGCCTCCTCTGCCTCCACTCTTCCCACCCTGCCCTCTCCCACGCCGGGCACAAGCATCCTTCAGAGCAGCAGCAGGAAGGGGCTGCCAGGAACCCTCACCCTGCTCCTCACCTGGGATGGGTGTGCAATGGTCGCAGTAGCGCCGCTACGCATCTTTGTGGGAGGGGGGGCTTTAAAAGGAAAACTCAGTGCCATAGGGGGAAATGAGGGATGCAGGTGGGACCACACCACACAGAGAAGGTAAATTGCAGAGAAACACAACATCAAGGCCACACCAGCCACCCCCAAAGAGGGGCTCCAGCTGTGCTCCCGTCTGCAGGGACGACAACCACAGGCCCGTGTGCCAGTGAGGAGCTATGGCACGGGGCAAGAGGGACCTGTGACCAAGCCAGCGCAGCCATGCCCAGGAGAGACAGCCGTCCTGGTCCGGTGTGTGGAGCAAAAGCGATCCACGAGCGGGTATTGTAAAGCAAAGGCTCAGGGAAACAGGAACTCTTGCATGGACACGGAGTTTGTTAGTGTGAGGTACTATAAGAAAAAGTAATGTTCTTGAATCGTAAAAAAGGCAGGAAAAGAGTGGTAATAATTCTTTACCGATGCCTTTGAAATTAACCCACTTTCCCCAAATTTTCTCAAATTTTAATATTTAATCAAAATGTATACATGATATCGCACACATAATATTGCAAACAGATCTATGTAGGATACAGATGCAATCCTTCGCCGCTCGCTGCCCTGCCCCGCTCCCCGCCCTGGCTGCTCCCTCTCGGAGCTGTGACCTGCTGCTCCACACGCCCCGGAGGCTGCAGGGCCCCCGAGGCCAGGGGCTGGGGGGGTGGGGGTGCAGCTCTCCTGCCCGGCCCCACCGCGGGTCCCCTGCAAGGACATGCTTGGGACTGGGGCCGTCCAGCGGCACGAAGCCTGTGGACTCTGGGTGCACTTAGGACCTGACTGCATTATTGCTGAATGTCTTGGTCCAAAGTCAGTGAACCACCTCTCACCAGGACACGCTTCCAAAGGAGGAGCAACAGGAACTCATTGACCTGAAGGACTTTCCGTAGAAAGAGGAGGACCTGGACCAGCGAGGCTGCCAAAGTGCAGCTGGGAGAGCATCCAGGCAGGCTGCCAGCGGGCCAAGGCTAGGGCGATGGAAAATCCACGGTGGGAAGGAAACAACAGAGCATCTGGTATTTTGAAACGCGGCTCCAGTTTTCCTGTGCACTCTGGCTGTGAGTCGCTATAGCGACAGGCTGAGAAATTTCTGTGCTAAGCCGATGTCCGTCTCGCTCGGGCGTGCTGCACCCCTGGGGCCGAGGTGCAGCTCAAGGAGGAGACTGGGGAGAGGTCCTGGGGCCAGCTTGGTCCCCCGGGCAGAGCAGAGCCCCGCTGTGGGATCCCACCTCCAAGTGCAGCATCGGAAGGTTGTTCAGGAGACGCGTCCGCGGGCAGGCGGATGCTGCAGAGGTGCCGGCGCAAGGGGGGCATTCAGCAAAGCAATCCCTGGGGGGGGCAAACATCGCAGAGGCAACCAGTCGCCTGCAGCAAGCCTCAAGCCTCGCCTCTCAGTCAGTTGAGCAGCAGCGGTGTTGTGCCCCAGGCAGCCCTGTGGGCTGAGCCAGCGAGCCTCGGGCCAGGCCAGGAGGAGCAGGAGAGCACAAAATGCTTCCTGCCAGCAAGAAGAGAGTCCCAGAGCAGGTATCTCAGCAGCAGTGGCAGTGCTGCTCGCTGCCAGCCAGGCACCTTCCCCAGGAGGTCTCTCGCCTGTCGGGATGGGGAGCGGGGCAGGGGGTGAGGGGGAGTCGCCTCTGGCTGAGGGAGCAGCTGCCTGCAGGAGGGGGCTGCAGGCCCTCACGTGGCACCGCAGCCAAGCACCAGAAAAAGAAAGCAAAGAGCAGAAGCGCAGGATATTTTCTTTCCATTAAAAGGCCAGCAGGATGGCAAGATCTTGTTTGTGTACAAAAATGTCAGTAGGGAGACAGAGGAGTAAACAAATGGTAACATCTGCTCCAAGGAGCCCTTTGCAGAGTGACCATGTGTGCGGGGACAGCACTTAGCCCCCAGTTCAGGGGGCAGCGGGGGAGAAGGTCACATTCGGTGTCCTCGGCAGTGCCTGCGAGCATGGAGGTGTGAGAGGAACACAGGAGCAATCATCTGTCCCTCTGCAGCCTCCAGCAACTTGAACAGGGAAAAACATAACAACACGAAAACACCCTTGGAAACCGTTTGTCTCTATTCCAAGGAGCAGAGCAGGGAAAATGCTCTTGGAGGGTGTGTGTGCGGCTCCTCTTCACGTGTGAAGGGCAGAGGATCCCGCCTGGGATTGGGACCTTGGCCGGTGAATTGCTGAAGAGCTGGACATGGGTTCCTACCACCAGCAAAGCCAATTCATGCAACCCAATGTCAACCAGAGCTGAAACCAGCCCCTGCAGCGAGGCTCAGAAGGTTTCATCACCACAAATCATAGTGTCGCACCCAACAAACTACATTGTCGGTCCCACAGACACTCCGGAAAAATCCTTACCAGAGCTGATGCCTTTTCTGGCTCTTCTGCTGTATCCCTGCTCCCCGCAGTGCAGAGTCCTCGTGAGATGAGCCCTCCAGGACCAGAGACAGATGGGTGGCTGGACCGCCTGCTCCTGTTTGCATTATCAGGCACCAGGAACCCCCCTGGCCAGCACTGCAGGTTATCCATCATGTTACTCATGAATTCTGCCTTGCAATACCCGGCAAGAGATACACAGAGGTACTGAAACAGTAGGGAGGCAGAATCCCAGTTTTTACTCTCAAAATAAATCTTTGAACCATACACCACAGTTCTTAAAGTTCCTGTTACTGTGCATTGGTGATCTGTGTGAATACTTGCATGCGGCTGTAGAAGACCGAATGAACAGTGAGGGGCATGAGAAGGATCCGATAAAATTAATCTCCAGGCCCACAGTGAAAAGGAACAAAACCATTTTTCCCCCAGAAGTGAAAAAGGCATTTCAGAGACCTTGAATCCGCATTTCTTCAAAAGAATGCCTCCTGCTGCCCGTGAAATTCCTAAACTAGAAAAATCACTCTCTGACTACATAACAGTGGTGATAAACAAGAAACGATAATTTGTATCCAGAGATACATGGGCAGATAAAAGCAGGTATCGGCTGTACAATCAATCCACATAGTGAAAACAGCTGCCCATAAACAAATCTTACTACCTTACAACCTGTTCTTCTACAAGAGGCAGGTTTTTTTCCCAACAATAATAAATTATTTTTAGTGATAACTCCGAACATGAAAGAATGCACTAGGAGAAAAAAAAAAAAAAGTTTCTGCAGTATTACCTGGGAACCTCAGCCATAAACCAGGGCCTCCCCTGGGGTGCATATTGCACAGAGTAGGTACTGAGCAACAGCATCAGTTTTGGCTTCATAAAATAGTTTGGGTTGGAAAGGAACTTTTAAAGGCCATCTGGTCCAACCCCCCTGCAATGAGCAGAGCCATCTTCAGCTAGATCAGCATGCCCAGAGCCCCGTCCAACCTGACCTTGAATGTTTCCAGGGATGGGGCATCTACCACCTCTCTGGGAAACCTGTTCCAGTGGTTCACCACCCTCATTTTAAAAAAATGTCTTCCTTATATCTAGTCTGAATCTACCCTCTTTTAGTTTAAATCCATTACTCTTTGTCCTATCACAACAGGCCCTGCTAAAAACTGTCCCCATCTGTCTTATAAGACCCCTTTAAGTACTGGAAGGCCTCTAAAAGGCCTCCTCAGAGCCTTCTCTTCTCCAGGCTGAACCACGCCAACCCTCTCGGATTGTCCTCCCAGCAGAGGTGGTCCATCCTCTGATCGTTTTTGTGGCCTCCTCTGGACCTCCTCCAGCCAGGTCCACATCTTTCCCGTGCTCAGGACCCCAGAGCCGCACACAGTACTGCTGCTGGGGTCTCACCACAGCGCAGCAGAGGGGCAGAATCCCCTCCCTCAAGCTGCTTTGGGTGCAGCCCGGGATACGGTTGGCTTTGCAGGTGGCGAGCACCCATTGCTGGCTCATCAGCAGTTCCCGCAGGTCCTCGGCAGGACTGCTCTCAATCCTTTTATCCCCCAGCCTGTAGCGATAGCGGGGCCTGCCCCCACCCAGGCGCAGGACCTCCCGCTTGGCCTTGTTGAGCCTCAGGAGGTTCCCATGGGCCCACTTCTCGAGCTTGTCCCGGTCCCTCTGGATGGCATCGTGTCCCTCAGGCGTGTCAATGGCACCAATCCACTTGGTGTCATCTGTGAACTTGCTGAGGGTGCACTCGATCCCCCTGTCCATGTCACTGATGAAGATACTAAAGAGTACTGGTCCCAGTACAGACCCCTGAGGGACACCACTCGTCACCAGTCTCCATCCGGACCTTGAACCGTTGACCACTACCCTCTGACTGCGACCATCCAGCCAATTCCTCATCCACCGAACAGTCCATCCATCAGATCCATTTCTGTCCACCTGAAAGGACATTGTGGGGGACTGTGGCAAAAGCCTTACAGAAGTCCACATAAATGACATCTGTAGCTCTTCCCTTGCCCACTAAGGTAGTCACATGCCATCTTAGAAGGCCATTAGGTTGCTCAGGCCGCATATACTCACCATGTGTTCTTCATGCGGTGTTGTGGACTCTCAAGATAGACAACAATTAAAATGAATTTTATTTTAATACAATGAATTGGCACTCCGGCAATCATTCACAAAGGGCAGATCTGAGTGTCAGGGAGAGGAAAAGCTATTGCTGCACAAACTCCTGGGATTTAACGACAATCCAAAGCGCTTGGTCACTCACCTAAAAAGCGAGGGCTCTCAACCGTGGGGAATTTCTTCGGGTGGCATCCCGACCCAAGGGGGGAACCTCAAGGAGTTTCCTTGGGCAGCGTCCCGACCCAAGGGGACGGTCCTCGACCTCAGCTGTGCTGCTCCAGGAGGGACTAGCTCAAAATGGCTCCCCCCGGGGGCTCCGTTTCTACCCTCGACAAATCTGATCTGCGGTCAATAATCAGCCCTTATTGGCTGAGGGCCCCAATTCCCATAAAGCCCTGAGAACAAGGGCACAAAAAACCAAAACCAACCAACCAACCAACCAAAAATCGAAAAAAACAAACTAATGGCCACTATATTTCAGCAGCCAGGAAGCCCCATTTCCAGCAGGTGGGTGCACCTGCCACACATGGTTTCCTTTTGCATGTCAAATAATTTAAGAGAATAATTTTTGCCTGTTTTATCGATTGACTTTGCTCTGTGAGGACCCTGACAGAAAGTATTCCCTTCAATTACACATGAAGAAGAAATGGAAAAGTGAAAACTTCATCTTTGCCCTAAAACCAAAGGGACCCATTAGCCCTGGTTAGTGCCTGGTTAGTGCCAAAGGGGGCCCCAGCCTGGAAGATGACTCCGGGAGGGCATCTTGCACTTGTCTCGAGACTGAAATCCCTCGCTCCATCAGCATCATCCTGAGCTGTTGGTAACAGCACCCGAGGAGGTCAGAAATCCCTTGCCTGCGGTTTCCTCCTCTTCGGGGGGACTGGGAGCTCCTCGCTGCCCCTGTGACAGTGCCTGGAAAGCAGGGCAGAGCTGTGGGCTCAGCCCCGGGTGGGACTGTGTCCCAGCCCTTGGACGGAGCTGCTCTCCGGGAGGGCAGCTCCCCCGCCTGCGCTCCAGCGGCTCTCCACGAGCGTCCTGAGAGACGTCCCCACGCAGCCTCGGCCCGGCTGTGAGGTCACAGTGGGGCTGTGAGGTCACAGAGCCCTGTCATGTCACGACAGCCATAAATATGGATCGCTCAGCCCCCGGAGCCCACTGCAGCACCAGCAGCGGCAGCAGCAGCAGCACGGTGCAAGCAGAGGGCCATGGCCCCCACCCACCACCTCCTCCTCATCCTCCTGCTCCTGGTGGCCCTGCATGCCAGGGCTGCCAGGACAGCTCCGTGGAAAGCGTGGGGAACAGGTAAGTGGGGGACGGCTCGTGCAGCCTTTCACGGGCCAGAGGGCTCTTCTCCCCAGGAAGCGTGGAGGATGATTTTCTCCCTCCAGTGCTTTAGCAAGGGCTTCCTCTCTCTCTGTGTGAGCTCTCCCGGTCAGAAAGCCCCGAGGGGCCGTATGTTGGTCCATCTGCTCCTAGAGGTGCTGCACATGGCCTGGAAAGAGTGTTTGCAGAGGTGCCCTGTCATTACGAGGGGCCCCTTTCCAGTGCCTGCAGTTCCCTAAGGCAGACGAGGATCCCAACATGCAATGGAAATGTTTCACATCTGTGTCTGCTTCTAGATGAGGCTGGTGGCAATGGTTACAAGGCTTCTCAACTCAATGTTGACTGGGAATCTTTGGGCCATCCTGGAGGTAAGTTCTCAATGTCCATTTTGTTGAAAGAGTGAACACTGACAACTTGGCAAGAGTTTATTCATGTGCAGATCTCCTGAAGACCCCCTCACTGTCCACGGCTTCCCAATGTCTTTATCTAGTATTCCTGTCCTCCAGCCTGAGAGCAATCTCACGGGTAATTTAGAGGCAGCAAGGAGCATCTACCTTTTAATTTCTTCTTTCCGTGTGAAATGCAAGTTGCTCGTTCTGCGGCTGACCCGCAGACGTGCAGAAGAGCAGAGAGGGAAAGGGTCGGGCTGAGTGCCGTGCCCCGGGGCGCTTTCCCTTGCGAAGCTCTTTGCCGGCCCCTGGGAGCCTGAGCTGCTCCCTCCCGGTGCCGGCTGCCAAGCCAGTGGGCTTCTTGGGGCTGACTTCAGAGCTGGTGCGAGCTCCAGGGAGTCCTTTCTCCCAGCGGCTCCACGCGTGGTTCATTTTGTCCCAGTGTGGTGCCACTGCAGGCACACGGTAACTCTTTGCACCAAGCTCCTGAGCGGAGGGGAGAGAGGAGTGCCGTGGAGTAATCCCGTCTTTGCCCGGCGCTCCTGAGCTGCCACTCCGATCTGAGGAAGGATCCTGGACTGTGTCACCGGAGCCGTTCTGTCCTGTGCTTCTTTGCAGCCGTGCCTGTAGGCGCAGGTGATGCAGCTTGGCAGCTGGGTTCCAGGACGGCGACTGCGGGAGATGGCACGGGTACGTCCTGGCTTTTCCCTCCCCTTCAGAGCTGCCCGCTCACAGCCCAAAGGTCAGCCGGCCGGGCGCCTCTGCAGGTGGGAGGACGGAGACCTGCCCGTGGGTGCCCTCTGCTTGCGTGACCCCCTCACCGCTCCTGCAATTCGCGTCTGCCAGTGTAGATGACGGGAGCTTCTCTGGGTGATTAATAATTACAGATGTTCCTGACGGGAGGACTTTTCCAGCTCCTCGGCTGGATCTGGTGCAAGAGTCTGGCTGGCATCCCAGGGGTGAGTATTCTGTCCTCTGCTCACCTCACAGGCTGTGCACTGGTTTTGTGCAATTTATTCATGTGGAATCGTACCAAATACGTTCTGTTAAGGTCCTCCAAGAGCTGAAGGAGGAAAAAACTCCCGGGAGCCATCAGAAATCATGAAGAAAATACTGGAGGAGCTGGAGAGAACACAGGGTGGGTACACTTTGCTCTGCCTTAGCCGTGAGACTCGTCAGCCGGAGCTCTTAGATCCGTGTCCAGACACGCCGTCGCCGGCCCAGCAGGCAGGGGTCGAGCAGAGCCTCGCAGCAGCGATGCTGGGTTTCACGCCTTGCAGGCGCTGGCGAGCCACAGAGATGGGGCAGAGCCTCTGCTGCCAGTTGTGGCTCAAGCCAAGTGCCAAGGGCAGCTGGTGCCCCCGTTTTACCATCACGGCTCACAGCTGGCTTGTGCAGATGTCAGCAGGCAGATTTATTTATCTAAACCTTACCGATGGCTTTGAGAAGCGTTGCCTCCTGGAGGTGCCACCGCCCTGATGGGGAACGGTTCCACCTGACCCAACTGTCCCGCTTTCTTTCTCAAGAGACAGACCCAGAGGCTGTGCAGGAGTCAGCGTTTCCAGGAGGAAGCAGTGGCTCACGGCTCGCCTCTGCCTCAGCAAGGGAGGCGATGCAAGCCCCCCGCATGCCAGGTAATTGCTGTGCCGGGGTCAGCCGCTGGCACCCATCGGGATCGCTGTGCGTCAGCAGGCTCTTCCCCCAGTCCCGCTCTTGCACGTCACGTCAGCAGCCAAAGGGGAAAGTGCTGTGGGCTCGCGGCACCTGGGCCACGTTCCGCAGATGATGGGGAATGTAACTCTTAATCCGACGCACCTCCCGCTGTAGCTGCATCCCAGAGCTTGCCATGAGTCCCTCGAGGCCCAAGAGCAGCACAGAGCGGGATCCCTCCCGTGAGCCGAGGTCCAGAGCGATGCCCTGACTCCCCAGCTGGGCAGGGGCTTGGAGGGAACCTCCCCGTCCTCCTGCATCCTCTGTGCCTGAGCCATGCGGAGGCTTTACCTCTCCTCTCTGCTTTTTGGCAGTGCTGTCAAGGTTTGGGGAATATCACCGAAGCAAAGTGTATGAATTTCATCCAACAGACTCAGGTACTGAGCAGTCTTGCTGGGGTCCTTCAGTGGGAGATAAGTCCAGAACTCTGGGAGCGGCTGCAGGCGGTGCCCATGCTGGGGAAAAGGCAGAAGTGGGGAGGGAGGCTCAGGTGTCTCTTGAGAAGTCCTGACTCCATCCCCTGGTGATGTGGGAGCTGCCTGGGGGCAGGGAGAGTTGGGGGTGGCACTGCCTGCTGCAGGGATGGTTTCTTCTGTCCGTGTCCCTCGAAGGAGCGACTGCTCGAGCAGATGCGCTCCCCGCCACGTGCTCCTCTGGCCGCCTCAGTTTTGTTTGGGGGGACAACCTGTCCCAAAGGGTGGGAGCGTGCCTCCGGGCACCAGCACTGGTGGGAAAGAGAGACCTTCCTGGTCATATGAGACGTGCTGCCAGCTTACAGTGGTGCATTGGACAGACTAACATCCCCAATTGCATCTCCAGGTGCGGTCGGCGAGACAAGCCCCACTGTGTCCCATCCCCAGAACATCCCAAGTGTTCTCTGTCCGCAAGATGTGCGGAAGGGCTGCATGATCGGCACAGTGGTAATCGTGATTTTCGTGCCACTTGCACTGCTGCTGTGCTACGTCTTCGTCCGGCAGCGGAGTAAGAGCAAAGAGTAAGTCAGTGATTTCCCCCCCACTGCTCCCTTGCATGGCTGCTCGTGGGCCGTGCTCTGGAGAGGAGTCCCTGTGTCCCTCCTGCAGCCGAGTGCCTCAGTGGCCTCCTCTCTCCACAGACATGCCCCTGCACCTTGGGGACACCGGCTGGAAACCGGCAGGTACCCCCTGCGCCCGGTCAGCCCCACCAGCCACCCCGGCATCGCTGGCAGCTGGGACCAACGCCAGCAGCCGCAGCCCCCGCCTGAAACACCGGCACATCCACCCTCCACATGGGCTCCACCGCCACCGCCATCACCATCATCGCCACCACGACCACCGCCACCATCATCGCCACCATCATCGCCACCACGACCACCACCATCACCATCATCGCCACCACGACCACCGCCACCATCATCGCCAGCACGACCACCACGACCACCATCACCATCATCGCCACCACGACGACCACCACCACCATCACCATCATCGCCACCACGACGACCACCACCACCATCACCATCATCGCCACCACGACGACCACCACCACCATCATCATCATCGCCACCACGACCACCACCACCACCATCACCATCATCGCCACCACAACGACCACCACCACCATCACCATCATCGCCACCACGACCACCACAGCCACCACCACCGCCACCACCGCCGCCACCACCACCGCCACCTCATCACAAGCCGCTCTGACACCTCAGAACCCACCCAGCTCCCCTCAGCTCCAACCTAAACAGCCCCCCCATCCCCTGAGCCCATGGTTCCGGCCCTCTGACAATGCAGCTCTGCCAGGGTAGGGGGTGGGAGTGTGGAGACAGCTCAGCACAGAAGCTCTGTATTATGTTACCTGGTTGGATTTTCTGAAGAAGAGTTTAGCTTTTAAAGTTGAATCAAATAGGCAAAAGAACTGATGCAGGAGGCTACTCCAGTATTGACTTTCATAGCTGTCTGGCCAGCATGAGACCTGGAAAACCATGTAACGGAGCCATTTAGTACTGAAAATGGCCCAATATATGTATGAGAAGAAGCTTGTTTAAATGTTAAATGTTGGAGCAGACTAGAGCATCCCTTAGTCAATGGCAAATCTTCCTCCCTCCCTCCCTCCCTTCCATGACTCACAAGTAGCATGTTTGACATAGTTCTTTCCCCCAGAAACTAAACTGCCCGGTTTTATTATGGAAAAAAACCCCATATGTGTTGTATGTTCTCATATGAGCTGCTTAATAAAAATATGTTAACAACTGAGACTGTGGAGTTATTTCCTCCTACTGCAACATTAGAAAATGGATTTTCTGTGAATGGTTATAAAACAGGGATATATCATCTCTTGAAAGCAGAGAAGTGCTACCATCTTTAAAAGCAATTTGATGCACCACTACGGCCTGCAGACATAACTCTGGAGGCAACCACAGCAACATGAAATCTTTAGTGGTGAGGTTTAAACTGATACCAATGTCTGCCTTGCATCCAGAGTAAACTGTGCCAAAGCATTTAATACTTGAATGGAAAAGCAGCTTATGGAATAGCGCAGGCTGAAGCGTGGCTCTGACTGCAGGTAACCCATTGCTCTCAGCACTAACACTATCATCCTGCATTAGGACTGTTCTTGGATGGAGACCAGAAATAATATCTGGCAAAAGGAAAACCAGGCAACGGAGGTCCCTGAAGTCCCCCAGCAGGCTGAACGAGGAGGTGCCTCCCTGCCCGCAAAAGGGTCGGGACGCAGCTGAAATGGAGTTCACCCAGAAGGGCTGCCCAGATAGATCAGAGTTCTTCTGAGCCCACCATGCTTGGAACGGCTCTGGGTTTGAGTGAATCCAGAGCTCAAGCTTCCTTCTGAAACTGCAGCAGTCAACACAATGAAATAAAGCAAATACTGTTCAACTATTGGGAACACGTCAAACTGAGCTAGCTTGTAGCCTTGCTGCTCTGGTCACTGTCCTGCTAATCCCAGCTGCAGCCTGCTGTGCTCTAAATTTAGAGTAAACTGCTCTTATTTGCTGTCAGATGCGTTAGCATCATGCCACTGAAACGCTCGGAAAGTGAGCAGACAGCAGTATCCCAGATCCACGGATCAAACACAGCACCCTGTGCCTGGAAGATAACCTTTGGATATTTTGAGAGTACGGACTTGCAGCCCTGAAGGGGGAAATAGTAGTACAGGGACACACTGTCTCCATTTTATCAAAATACTTCAGATGGGGATGAGGAAGCCACATTCTTCATAGCTAAAGCTTCTCTTCCCTGTGAAGATAGGAGCTTTCTCTTTGTCCTTCTGACATTTGCTTTACTCTAGAAAAGACACCAGGGATCAAATTTATTGGGCATCTTCAGTAACCAAGCTATAAATCAGCTGCTGCACCTCTAATTAACAAGTTTTTAGAAAACTCACCTTGGCTGTTTTCCTGTATTGCAGAAGATCAGCAGTCAGCAGCGTGTCCCCAGCTCCAGCTCCAACACTTCACCTCGCTTCTATCCACAACGAGAAACAGAGCAAAGATGTTACATATACAAATGTGAATTCCTCCTCTCGGGTTAAGAATACAGAATAAGGCTTGGACTCTGCATGTGACTGAAAATGAAAATGTCTAGCACAAATATGAGAGACAAAACCTGCCATTCAGGTTTTTGAACCTTGCAGGGTGTTGGTTGGTTACATATTGTCCTCCATATGTTTTTACAGATGACCCGTGGTCTTTTTGTTCTTCCTTGTTCCTTTAATTTATTTTTCTCTTCCAAAAAGACAGAGCAACACAGTTTGGGAGCTCTGGGGATCACACCTGCAGAAGTTGTCAGGGCTACAGAAAATCCTGTGCTAACTTCGCACCAACTCACCCGCACAGCTCCAGGTTATTTTACCTGATCAAAAGAGGTTATGTGCTTTAGGAAACTACATTATTGCTGATAAAGAGAGCTTTCTGTTTTTTTCTTAATAAGCCTTTAGCACTGTTAAAAGGGGAATTAATATTTTAAAAGTTAAAATCATCTCTGACTGTCCCAGAGATTGGAAAATCTCCCCCTACGTGTCCAAAACCAAAAGTGAAGAATTGTAAGTATCAAGAAACAACTGAAGTGCCAAGATGACAAGTATTTTCTGTAGAAAATTTTCCTTGTTTACTAAAAGCTTAACGATTTCCTAATACTCACAGAACCAAAACAAAAAAAAAACAACCCCCCAACCTTCTCTTATAGAAGCAGGACCTGTCGAGTTCAGAGACCCCTCCTCTTCGTCCTTCAGTGCATCCCCCAGCCTACAATCTCTCCCTGTTTTGCATCTCCAGCTCTCGACAGACTCGGGGTTCTCATGTGCGTCACAAAACCCAAGAAAAAGTGCCTGCAACACTTCGCCTGACATGAAAACGCAGGTGGCATAGCAATAATTACTGAAGGCACGAGCCTAGGTATGTGTGCACTCTCACCCTCCAGCCGCTGCACCCTTGGCCTCGCCTTCAAAGCACCCTCACTTTCTGAAAGCAGCCCAAGTCCTACACTCAGCTCTGGTGTTCCAGAGAAAGAAATACAGCGAATGCGATGTGGCATGAAAGGGGAAACGGAGGTCAGCTTTTCAGTACTGCATACCTCTGTCTTAAAATTCTTACATATTACTTTTGCTTAAAGCCCCTTCAAAGTGCACATATTTTTCCGCTTGGGTGTAAAAGAAAACAACATGTGATACCTCTGATGTGAAAGGGAAAAGCCCCAACGTGACTGTGTTGTCCCTACAAAGAACAAACAAAACGCTTTTGCTGATGAACTCGCTACGTGAAGTACCACAAGGTTTAGATTTCCTGCCAGAGTTTCATGTTGCCCATCCAGATGAAGTCAAAGTATTTCTTTAATAAAAAACAAACCCGGGAACTCTGATAAAAACCTGGTTTTAGTTGTGACCAAGGTAAATGTAGACATGGAACAGAAAACAGTGTTGTAGTTGGACTCCGCTGTATGGCCAAGTCACCTGAAAGCAAATCCCTTGCAGTTATTGTGGGTACTTTAAAATATGTTTGTTAACTTTGAAATTAATAATGAAAAACGTCTCTTTTCCTAAAAAGACAGCTATATTGTTGTGTAATGAAGAGCAGATGTCAAAAAGTATTTCAAAGACTTGAAAAAAAACCTTAGGAAAATAGCACAAAGGCTACACGAGCTGACTTTGCCGGAGCAGCTCTAGCCTCCCTTACAAACGTTGACGCTACATGTGTTGTCACTTTGCTTTAATTTGAGAGCCCTGGGAGCCCCGGCATGTGCAGTGGGCGCTCCCCCACCCCTTCCGCCGCACCGGCACGTCACGAGCGGGGAATCTCTCCCAGCAGCGGGAAACTTCCCTTGGTTAACTGGAGGCAAGTGGCCTGTCCTTTCCGAGGGCAAAGGGCGAGCCAGAGGCGAAGGGAAGCTCATCCCCGGGACCGACGTGAGGCCCACCCCAGCCCCCGGGACCCGCAGCCGGGCGGCACAGGGTGCTCGGGGTGCGGGTGCCCTCCGGGCGGGCCTGGGCCGGCCTCCCCAGCAGCGCTGCTCCTCATCCTCCCTCCTCCGCAAGCACGGCGGGGGACAGGGCAGGAGCCAGGACTCTCCCACCGGGAGAAAAGGGCTGGATCCTCATCGGATGTATCGCAGCAGCCTTGCTTTGGCTTCAGCCAGAACCACCAGTTTACACCGCTGAGTAACCAGCTCATTTTTTTTAAGGGTGTTTAAACCGCAAAACTGAGTTCAAGTTTCATGGACAATTTTATTAGAGGGCAGAATTGCAGCCAACTGTTTATCGGGTGTCTGGCCCAAGTGCTGATAAAGACTTGGCTGAAATTTATATAATCTGCCATTAATAAATGCAATTTATGACAGTCTCAAGGAAAGACATGACCACTGCTGGCTCCATTAATGGTACACTCAGCAGAGGCCAGGGATTTGGTCTGTACAGAGACAAGACTTAATTAATTTCTTGTCCCTAAATGCTTGTGATTTAGGTCAGGACCAAGAGGAAAGGCTATGTAAATCTAAAGGCTCCACATCAGAACTGCCAGGCTTCGCTAATGGGAGCTCAGTCGCTTTAATACAACCTCATACCCTACTTTATCATTCCAGCAACCCATCTAAAGCAAATATTGGCTCCAGTAACCACACTCCAGTTAAAGTGATAAGCCCTGAACCTGACATGATAGATGTATGAGCTTAATTTTACACACTAGAAGTAGTTCTGTTGAAGTGCAGCGGGGCAGAGCACAGCTCATAAACACCTTTTCAGAAGTAGAGGCATTGGGATCAGACACAGAGAAAACCTATTACATCCTGTAGTCTGGGACCCCTCCCTGCTCTCCACCCCTCCTCCCTCTTTTTCTGCTGCACATGGGTGATTTGTGAGCTGGCACAGACTGTCTTTGGGCTTTACCTTTGCCCAACACTTGGCCCCAGTGCCTGGATCCCAGCTCCAGACAGGACCTGCTCAGTGCTCTCTGCAGGGCAGCTGCTGAACACCCCGGTGCAAAACACCCCAAGGAGCAACAGCACATGCCAGCTGACCAAAAAAATGAATATACAGCAATAACTTTGGTTCCCATTCATGAGGTCTGAACAGAACGTAATTAATTCAAGGAAATACATTTATTTGGCAAGTGCTGTCGTATTTAAACCCTGCTTAATATAAGGGTGCATATTCCACTGCCTGCAATACATTTAAAATATATACTTACCATTAACAGAATGTATACAAATTTGATCATTACGTTAGCTCTGCATACTTAAAGGAACCTATATTTAAATGTACATACACTTTTATGGTTCGAATTCATCCTCTGAAAAATTCCATGGCCAGCTCTGAAAGCCAAGAGACATTTCTTTTCAATATCTGTGATGAATGAGATCCAGACACAGGACTGTTTCACAAAGTATCATCCATGCCAAAATCTTCATCCAAAGAAAAATTCCAAGAACAATTATGAGGATCTAAATATCAAAGACCTAGTTCTGCTCTATTCCAAGCAAAAGAGAGATTTATAAATGCACTCAAAAAGTACATGTCAGAAGACACTAAAAGGCAAGCACCTAAAATCATTTCTAGAATATTACTAAATAAGTAATTTTTGGATTATCTTTTCAGTGTCTAATATAACATCCCTCTGATTTAGTGCTAAAGGATCCCACTGTGTTTACTCATTTTAACATGGAATTTAACCACCAGAGTTTAATTCCTCTAGATAATATGACTCTGCAACAGGGTGAAATTCAAAGGAGACGATGCAAATAACAGTAAATGCTCCAGAATTTCACTGAAAAACATTTTAAAACTCATCTGGGCTCCTCTCTCTCTCTATTCCCACCTAGTTTGAACCACTCCAATACTCCCAACCAGACAGGACAAAGATGTAGGAGATGGAAGCCAGGGCCATGGTTAAGAGAATTACACATTTCCTTGCCTCCAAGAGGGACCAAGAACACGTTTGGTTACACAGAAAATAGATCACCATCAAGAAATGAAACCACTTTGATGGGAGCGTGAAGGGTTAGGGTTAGGGTGAGGGTTAAACCACCCGGCCGGGCCCCGCGCCGGGCTCCCCGCTCAGACGTGGGGCGGGCTGGCAGCAGGGCCCCTCCGAGCAGCCCCACCGTGGCACGGCCAAGGGAGCCACTCGTACCCTCTGCTCTGCTCCAGGGGGGCACGGCGGCCCTTTACAGCTCATCCATTAAATCATGCTGATCTAGGCGACTTGCCCATTTGGGTTTGTGGGGCGATTTTGTTGGTTTTGTTTTAATTCTGTGAACGTATGCAGAACCTACTGAACATACCCATTTTAAGGGTGTTTTCAGCACAGATTTAACATGAGTTTGCTGCACTCAAGTTAACTCCCCTTGCATTGGCTGCATTTAAACGCGAGCAGATTGAGCATTAAACATTATTCAAACTGCACAGAGATTGCATTAGCAGCTGCGTTAGCTCGGGCTGTAAGCAACATCCCCAGAGAGAGGAGCCAGCTCAAGTTCAAACACACAAATAACTGTCTGCATGTGCAGACAGGCCTGAGAGGTAAAAATCAGAGGTAAACACGCAGTGAAATCCGGAAAAATCCCCTATTACCTGGTTTGACACAGAAGAGAGTTTGATGCAGTCCTGTAGCAAGTTTTAAAGACAAACCCAAATGCTCTCCTAATAACATGAACACAAACCAATTTGCATTTATCACTGCTTATGTAATTGATTTGGGCTTTCAGCTGTATAAAAGTGATCGAGCTCTATATATTTCCATACATGGACAATTATTAGCTACACATTCTTGACATTCCCTTTTTCCAAGCAGCAATGTGTTCTGAGCTCCCCCTGTTTTCACCACAAGCTTTAAGGCTACAAATCTCAGGCATCTGTCAGTCAAAAATATGTTCCCCATCTGGGTGTCTTTCAGTCAAACTCAGGCCTCAAAGGACCTTTGCACTAGAACAATTCTCAGAACAACAGAAAGGCTGTTCAGCATACAAGAAAAGAATTCACCACGATTATAGGAACAGAAATTAATAAAGCTATCATACATTTGTAAATGAAAGAGTGTTTGCTGGCAGCATTCAGCAAGGAAATCTGCAAAGATACTTTCTGACTGAAGTAAGGAAATGCTTCCTAGGAAGCAAAAAATATGTCAGCTTACCTTCCAGACACAGACCCTGCCAGTGGTGTTTACTGGGCTTCATACATCTGCACTACAACATTCATCCACCTCTAGACAATTCTACTATTTTTGCACTTTTTTTTAAGTTCCATGAAGTTCTTTGCATCTCCGTTATTAATATAACAATACCAGATTTCCCACATAAATAGGGTGTTTGGGATAACTTGTATTTAAGCGGAGCAGACACTAGTATGAACATTCAGCAGAGAGCGGGCTGCTGAAAACCAGC